AGCACCTTTCACTCTGAGAACATCCTGGGAGGCTGTCAAGACGATAGTCTTGCTGCTGGCTCTGCAAATTTACAGGCCCTACATGTACGATAAGCAGCAGTCTGGGGGAGGGGGGCGCAGCTTCCATAGACAATAGAGGATGACACAACCATAACATTAAAGGAGAAACCAGAAAATCTGAGAGGTGATATATTCTCATCACACAAGTAGGAAGTCTGAAAATCTGTACTTGGAGGTCCCACTGATGTAAGAGAAATCAGCCAGGCAGGCCCACTTTCTCACACAGAGCTTCCAATCAACTTTCCAGTGCCTTGCTAAAGGGTACACCTGGGATCACAAGAGATAAAAGAAAAAGTTCCAGATGAAACACAGACTAACAGCAAGGAGATACAAAGACACTCGTAAGAAGGCAAGTTTTCTAAAAATGCAATGTGCAGCCTCAGAAATATAAGCTATTTGCATCTATGAAATAAATGAGAACATAAAGAGCTCCTAAAATTTTAAATATTTCCTGAAAGTTTTTTGGAAGTTTGGAAAACAGTAAACTCCCTCAGAAAGAGTGAGAAAGTGGAATGATTAGAGAAGGTTAAAAAAATAAAAACAACCAAAGAAGCGTAACATCCAAGCAACATGCATTCCAGAGAGAAGAGAGAAAATGGAAGATGATCAAAGATGTGACACAGAATCCCACACAGTGAAAGGGTTAATCTAAGGACTGATAAGCCCAAAACAACAAATGAAAAAGACCCACACTAACATACACTGTCCTGAAGTTTCAAGACACAAAGACAATTCTAGAGGTTTCTTGGAAAGAGGAAAAACCATTGGACATGTACAAATAAATGAAAAAAGCATCCAATTTCCTCAACAGCAGCACTGGGATTCAAAGACTACGAACTATCTCAAAGACAATGCCTGGAAAATTCTCAATGAAAGTTATTTCCAACCTAGAATCCTTCACCCACCAAAGAGTGAGCATGCAAATGAGATAAAGAGAAGTTGCTACATAGTCTCAAAAACCTTTTATGTGCATAGTTTTGAAAAATTGTTATGAGACAATTTCAAGCATGCCCAAAAGTTGATAATATGAATGAATGACCATACATTCCACTTGTAGCTTTAACCGTTAACTCATGCAACTCTGCTTGCTTCTGGAAAATGTACATGCTTCACCTAGGCAAGAGCACACTCACAAAAGGGAACACAGGGCAACCAGGAGGCCCCCAATGTATAGGAGAGTGAAAAGGAACCTCAGGGATGACAACGCTGCACCAGGTATAGAGAACAATCAACGCAGATGGGAAGGGAGCAGAAGGCACTAGAAAAAGTCTCACAGACAGACAGATGGTCACCCAATCACAATGGACATGTAGGACACTGAGAACTTTATAAAGCTACTAGAGGGTTTTGACAGACTTCTAGCTACAAAGAAATTTAAGCAAATAGGAAAAAAATAATCATTGGACTCCAAGAAAAACAATGTGTACCCAAAAAAGTAGTAATGTTGCATTTTTTGGCTCAAAAGTGTTCAATATTTATACAGTAATTATTAACAGAAACAAGAGATACAATTTCAGCTAAAAATTTTATTAAGAGGCTAATGAGGAACATGTTATGTGAAAAAGCCAAAATACTCAACAGATGTCACTACATAGTATCTAAAACTGTCAGATAAAGATATATTTGTATACTCCTATTAGTTGCAAATTTTGAAGGTAAAAATAAAAATGAATCAAGTGCCTATTTTTTGTTATAAATCTCTGGCACTATTCAACCATGAATTTTTATTAATTTGATAAAAATCAAGGTTTTTAAAATGTTTAAATATAAGAAAGTTGTTAAGTCTGCATATTAGGTATGTAGATATCTATTACTACCATTCGCCGTATCACCGTATCAGTATGATGATTATGGCATTTCATGAAGGTAGAAAAACTATAATCTTTCATTAAGTAGTAAAAATGGAGGCTAACTCTAAGGGAAAAATATATATTTAAGAAGTAATTCCATAAAACAGGACTTAAGAGTCACATGTCATTAGGTATATATAAACTACCACTTTAGTAACCAATTAAATTTCAACATAATTATAGAGATAGATAAGTCTAAGTTATTTTTAAAATAGAAATCCCTAATGTGCTGAACTAGATATATAAAAAGAATGAAAAAGTTCAATTTTTAAATTTTTACTCATCACTCATGCTCTGTGTAAAACACAGTATCAGGTGTTGGGAGCTGCCTACCCAATCTATTTACCACTGTGGTGGTTCTAAAACATGGCCCCAAATTCCCTGTTGAGCACAGCATGCACCTCCTCCTCTGAATGTTGCCTCTGGGATGCCCCAATGAACAGAATGCTGTGGAAGTGAACCTGTATGATTTCTGGGGCACCCAGAGGGACCACACAGCTGCACTGCTTCTCTTGGGATACTCATTCTGGGAGCCTGCACAAAGTCCAGCCACCCAAAGGTCCACAGAGGTAGGGAAACACTCTAGGAGCCCTACCTGTTGAAGCCCCAGCTTATCCTTGGGGATGGCACCAGCCTAGGAGCACAGCTAAGCCACTGTCCCAACTCGGGAGTACCTACCTGGGCCTCTTCTTGCACAAGAAAAAGAATCTCCCATTTTGAGTGGATTTCTTTATTTGTAAGTGGGTACATTTGTTAACAATATAGGGATTTAAAAGCGACAGAGCCTTTGTCTATGTGCAAAGAAGAATGATTATGGCAATTTTAGAAACAATGCTGATCAAGCGATCAACAGTCTTTCCAAAGTGGGTCTGTTGCACAACAGTCAAAAACAATGACTCCATGAGGCCAACTGGAACTTTCAGATCACCTACTTTGTCTTCAGCCCTATTCCATCTGCTCCAAGAAATATCAAAGAATAAGAAAATGAGAAAGATCAAAGTACTGGCCAGGATTAACAATCCCTCTTAAAAACAGTAACATCTCTTGGTTTGGCAACACCAGTTACTTCACATCACTGTAATCTGCTCACTCTACTCCTCACAAGATGATGTCAGTATCAATGAAGAAAATAGGGAATGTTGAATTTGGAGTGGCGTGCATAAAATTAACCCTGGAAGACAAATTACTATTTCAAATGATAGAAATATAGGGGGTTTCACTGATCAACAAAAACCTGAGAGCAATTTGCAAAAATTAACTGCAAAATTAATGAAATTACATTTATTTTACTGTGAACCATATGATCCATAATAATGCTTTTTTGATTAATGCTATAATGTGCCAGGTGCCTAGCTGAGCCTAGCCTACCACACCTGAGCTCATTTATTCCTCATCATAACCAAAGAGGTACATAACAGTCCTATTGTTTAGATGAGAAAAACCAAGGCTCAGGATGACAGGAAATGCACCTAAGTGTGTATGGCTACTGAACATGCTGGGGTTTGAATAATAAACCCTCAAGATGACTTTCACATCAGCCCATCATCACTGTCCCAAAGTAATCTTACTGATAAATAGTAAACAGTTAAAGAGATACTGTCTTTGTAAAAGAGGAACTAAAATCAAAGAAATGAGGGGCATTTAACCATCTTAATCCCTGTGACTCTTCTACAAAGGAATTCCAAATACTATGGTTAATAAATGTAAGAGCTAGTTCTAAATCACATAACCATTTCTGTGAGATTTCTTAATTCTGCTAGCTTAATTCTCAGACTCATTTATCAACGAACCTTAAAATGTCTATTCAACAAGCTATATTCAACATTCAAATGTACCTCTGGAAAGGAGAAGAACTTAAGTCCAAATGAAATCTTACCTATTTTACAGTATAGCCTGAAAGATTTTATTTTTCTTTTTGGGGTGGGTAAAAATCATGCAAAATTTAAACTTCTTTTCTAGTTATTAGCTGTGTGTCCAAAAATAAGAATTTCTATTATATATTCACTTCATTTCCATATAATTCATTCCAATAAAATTCTTTCAAAGAAATGTACAAAAAACTCCAAGTTTATCTTTTTTTGCTTAAAACTGCTCTAAATCTAAATATCATCACTTTCACTTCTTTCAAAAACAAATGATGAAGCCTCTATGTACTATAATCCCATTCAACAGGTACACACAATTTGCACACTAACTCTACCAGATATCTGTTATCTTGCTAGAAGGTGAGAGATGACGGGACAACAATTAACACGACCCAACTTCTCCCATTAAAGAGATACTGTCTTTGTAAAAGAGGAACTAAAATCAAAGAAATGAGGGGCATTTAACCATCTTAATCCCTGTGACTCTTCTACAAAGGAATTCCAAATACTATGGTTAATAAATGTAAGAGCTAGTTCTAAATCACATAACCATTTCTGTGAGATTTCTTAATTCTGCTAGCTTAATTCTCAGACTCATTTATCAACGAACCTTAAAATGTCTATTCAACAAGCTATATTCAACATTCAAATGTACCTCTGGAAAGGAGAAGAACTTAAGTCCAAATGAAATCTTACCTATTTTACAGTATAGCCTGAAAGATTTTATTTTTCTTTTTGGGGTGGGTAAAAATCATGCAAAATTTAAACTTCTTTTCTAGTTATTAGCTGTGTGTCCAAAAATAAGAATTTCTATTATATATTCACTTCATTTCCATATAATTCATTCCAATAAAATTCTTTCAAAGAAATGTACAAAAAACTCCAAGTTTATCTTTTTTTGCTTAAAACTGCTCTAAATCTAAATATCATCACTTTCACTTCTTTCAAAAACAAATGATGAAGCCTCTATGTACTATAATCCCATTCAACAGGTACACACAATTTGCACACTAACTCTACCAGATATCTGTTATCTTGCTAGAAGGTGAGAGATGACGGGACAACAATTAACACGACCCAACTTCTCCCATGTGAATGTGTATGAAATACTGGAAATCACAAAGCTTTAGGAAAAACAAACCACTAGGAGTTACATGGGGAGCACCTGCATTTTATGATCATTTTGAGTTGATCGCTCATGCCTGCACAGAACCACACTGCCTACCTGCATCAGCCCTGGACCGCTGACCAGGTGTCTTCCCGAATGGAGTCTTCATTCATCTGTATTTAAGTGAGCAGCAGAGCTGCTGGACTAGGGTGAAAAGTCAATACTCTCCGGTTTGAAACTTTCTGCAGAATTTCAATGTTCTTGTTAATCCATCATCCAAGTGCCTCTTTTACATGTTCAGGAAAAATATGTGAAATCATAAGGACTCTGCAAAACAGTGAAATAACAGTTCAGGACTAGAGCATAAGACCAAAACTATCAAAATGAGCCATCAAACATAATGTAAAAATTTATAGTGGCATCAGCTACAATGCACTTCACCCAAAGGCAGTAACTTAACCCCCTCAGATTTGGGTGGCAAAGCCAGCAGAGTAGCAGGGAGGAGCTGGGAGCTAGAACCTTCAAATGAGGCAAAGTGCAGTTCCTCAGAGGTCACCCTGAACACAGTGTAACCTCTAGCTCCCCCACTGTATCCCAACCCATTTTGCTGCCAGCAGTCAGAAAAGGGTGTCAGCAAGATTTAAAGTGGCATGGCCTGTCTCCTTCATGTGGCACAAAGACCCAGCTCATGGGAGGGCACTGGGCTGAGGTCATGGGCAGTGGCAGGTAGGCCAGGTTGGCAGCAAGAAAAGGGACCACAGCCAACAAGACTCTCTGGTCCCCTTTCTGCTCCTGAGTTTCCAGAAACCAAAAGAAAAGCCCAGCACCTCCGGAGGAGCATCAAGGAAACATCCACACCCAGAGCAAAAGCTGAGTCATTTTACAGAAGCAGTTTATCATTTAAATGAAATTTGGTTCCAGTTTCACTCCATATAGTAAAGCATATAAGCAGATACCTCATAAAACACAACGATGTCTACTGCATACTTCTCTGAACCAAAGAACTACATTCGGTTTTTGTGTATTAGTCCTCATGTCTACAACTATGGCCAAGTGTTCAAAGGCTTAAGAATTAAGGCATTGATGAAGTTATTTTCTAGAGACCAAAATGCAACAAAATAGTTAAAGTAATTTAAAAGCCTAATTAACAAGGGGGAGAGGAATCAGTGTAACTGGTAAGAATTCTTAACTACATAAAACTTCATTACTCATGGAAGTTAGATTTTAAATGGATGTATTTTATAGTTAATTCACTCAATGAGTATTCCATGAGTTCTACCGAGGGGAGCTGGGGAAGGAGAGAAATGTGCACAAGTGCAGACAGCAGGTTTCTCAGGGCAGCAACGGACAAGCACAGGGGAACAGAGCACTCCTCCAGGGCAGACCTACCCTTGCTCCCGCCCCAGTGCATGACCTGAGGGCGGCAGCAGCCTGCTGTCCACCCCAGGCCTGAGAGCCAGCCAGCCAGGCAGTCCCAGGCAGGCGGTGTACCCTCTTGCCTCCCGCCCTCGGCACTCCCCAACAGTGCTAAGAGGGCTTTCTGAGTAACACCCAAACATAAAATTTCAGATGACAGTCCTTCCCCAGTCTCAAGCTGCAGTGGGCATGACTGCCTGATCTTACCTCAACCTTTGCAAGGCAGGGAGAAACATAGAACAGAGCAGGAGCCAAGAGGGCAGGAGAGATTACCCTGCACCTCACAGGCTTCCCAATGGGCCCCGACACAAAGTACACGCCACCTGTAAGTACCCAGTCCACATGCTTCACCCACATCTACTCGACCCTCTAAGGCTTAATTGCCAGTTGACAGGAAACTAGAGGCAAGACAAGTTTCTAGAAGGCAAATGGGCCATTCTCTCCAAAGTGAATGTCATAAAAAAAAAAAAGCAGACAGACACACTGCTCCAGATTGAAAGAGACTGCAGGGAGACAAGTGAACCAGTGAGTAGACCCTGAGGGGATGGTTTGGAGGGAAAGGTACAGAAGACATTTAAGACAAATGGGGAGATTTAAATAGCTGAAGAGTAGATGAAATTATGGAATTATCATAGCCTCTAAAAGCACAGTATTACACTGTGGTTATATATGAGAAATACTTATTCTTAGAAAACGCTTGCTGAAATTTTTAAGGGTAGAGTGTCAAAACATCTGTAAGTGAATTTCATATGGTTCAGGGACAGAAAACAAAATATACAAAGAAACTGAAACCACAAAATACTAAGTTCTGAATCTAGGGAAAAGGAACACTAATGTTAGTCCTTGAGCTTTTATTCCAATTTGAAATTTTTGAAAGGTGGAAGAACAAAGATCCTGGATTTTCCTTCCTAAGTCCATCTTTGTTAAATACAGCTATTCAGGCTTTCAATTTTGCTAAATAATCTTTAAAATGTGTCCTGAGCTTAGTTTAGTTTTGGAACTCAAAAATTCTCCTTCCATAGTAACCTCTAAGGGGATAACAAATTCTGAAAAAATATTTCACAGAAGAACAGTATCCCCAAGCACATGTTATGTCACACACTGATGTATATTCATCAATTCAGACTCCTAACAGCTCAGGAGGCACAGAAGATAAAACAGCTCACGCATTGCCATACTGACCGTAAGGAGCATTACAGAGATAAATTTCCTGTTTTAAAAATAAACATACAGATTGCTCCCATAAAGGAAGAGATCACCACTGTATTATCTCCAAAATGGGTAAGAAAATAGTATTTCAGTATTTCAGATATGAAAGTAGTAATCAAAGACAGCAACCTGCTATCACCAAACAGGCTATTTATAAAATGGAAGTAAATTAATTGTTTAAGCAAAAAGGCTAAGTCCCAAAGAAGTCTCAACATCTGATCACTGCTGGAAAAATACACAGGAACACTGATGGCCAAAGGCTGCTGAGTATACACTGAAGTTGACCAGGACAAGTGGTCTGAAACCTGTCATCACAGATGGTTCAATACGGTTTATCACACATTTGTGAAAAGGGATGTGTAGCTACAATCTGAATAGGGCCTGAAAACTAAGAAAGAAGTAATTTATTTGATACTACAGTTACAAGGAAAAACACTCTCATTTTAAGTAGTGTCATGACATGTGCAAGTTACTGCAACTCGCAAATAAATGACCCAACAATAAAAGCTGTTAGTACAGCAAAATGTTAGCAAGTGGATCTCAACAAAGGGTACTCCACTATAACTAGCAATAGGGCCAGCTTTGCTATGTATATGAAACTTCATTTTAAAAGTTTGAAGGAAAAGCAGGAGGAGGAGGAGAGTGGTCAAGTGTGGAATTAGTAGCAACAACATGGGTTGACTGCAGGTGTTCAAAAATCTGTAACTTGTTTTCTAAGATGATTTTTTTAAATAGACTAAGAAAAGATGGCAAGATATTGCAACTCTTGAATCAGGATGATGAGTATACAGATGCCCAACTGCCTATATCTCAACTGTCCTACATACTTAAAATTTTTCATAGTAAAAAAACAGAAGGGTCAACAGTTTCAGATTTTGTAAATCGGAAAGAAAATGCACTGGAATACAACTCAAAATTCCAATCACATTTCAACAGATGGCCCCTTAAGACAATGCTCTTGAGGCCTCCCATATAGGCTGTCCATTAAGCTAAAACCTCTGGACTACAGCAGGGGATCCATCCGAATAAAAGCATTATTTGGCTAGAATAAAAACCAAATGGACATCTGAAGGCTTTCAGGGCCCCAAGCTTTCCTATCAGCCTAAATCACTACACCTAAACATCAATACAGGGGCTCTAACACAGGAGGTCTGAAATGTGGACAGAACTCATAGGTACCATGACTGTGGCTGAGGGAAAACTCCACTCCTTTTCCTAACTTTCATCTCAACTATGGCACTTCCTTCCACCATGAATGTATGCAACACGACAATACTCACCAAACCTCTGACCCTCTCAACAACAGAAATCACAGATCTTTCCATCCCTCTGCATTTGTTATAGATCTCAAAACAGCTTTTAAGTTCATCTACTACTTCTAAATTAAGTTAGCAGGCCTGCTGCAGAACAGACATGACCAGTGCAAATCAAGTCATTACTCATCGAACTGTGAAAACAGAATTGGTGACCACTGTGAGACAGAGATCAGCCTTTGTCAGAGTTCCTGGGAATTACTCCTCAAATGCTGGAACTTCCTGAGTGCAGGGGTCTTTGTGGTTCGTGGTGGGCCCCAGAGAGTATGCCAAGAAGGTAACTCAGGATGGGGCTGGCTACACCAGAGACCAACCAAAGCTGTGCCTTTGAACACCATGAACGCAGCCCAACTCCAGGGGCTGCTAGAGGTCAAATTTAACCTCATGGCCAATGATACATCAATCATACTTACATAATGAATCTGGGGTTTTACAATAAGAAATTTTACAGTAAACAACTTGGCGCTGACACTGGAGTGAGCTTCCTGGTCAGCAATGCTTTATCTATGTGCAGTTGCACACCCACACGCAGTGGGTCCTGACCCTATACAAAAGGATTAGAGGCTTCCACTCAGACTCCCTGCCCTCACCATGTTTGTTTCTTCTTTTGGCTTGTCCCGGTTTAGATCCTTTTTTACTCTAATAAAACTGTATTGTTTCAGTATATCAATTTCCTGAACTCTAGGAGCTGTCCTAGTAAATTTTCGAGCCTGAGAGGTTCATGGAAATGTAGACACCCCAGCAACTAACTTTGCTGTCGTTTCTACTTAAGCTTGATTTATAACCAAAACTAATCTAAGAGAAAAGAACAATATGTTTACTGCTTAAGTTTGATTAATACCCGAAACCAATGTAATAGAAAGAACAACGTGTTAATTCCTGGAATCTGGTGTGAGTTATGAACAGTATTGAACAGTAGCTGCAAACGGTTCCTGTGATCCTTCTGCGGCAAACCCAGACAAGGAACATGCTGTGAAACTCACTAACCGGATGACTTGACTTAACACAATAGGAATATAAAAAACATATCTATGGTTGATTGATTCGTTGAGAAAGTACATTCAATAATTATTAACCAATGATTGTTTTACTGCTTGCTGTGACCTAATAAAGATGCAGGAGCACACTGACTCGTTGCTTAGTCTCCAAGGAAGTCTTAAGCCCTCTGCATTAAACCTCATTCTGACTCAGTTTCTCATTTTTGCGGTCCTTGACTGCAACATGGGAACCCTTGGACTTGTGACCAGATGGTCAGAACTGCAGGGGGCCTGGTATCCCCACCCTCCAAGCTTGTGGATGGGGTCTGCAGTTCAAAGGGTGTTGCCTTGGCCTGTGACCACTGACTCAGCCTCGGTGTACCAGGGCTGCACTGCAAGGACACATGGTTCC